TCCAGCCTGCACTTCTCCACAGGGTCTTGTCCTCCAGGCCCCTCCCCACCCTACTCCCTCCTCTGGTGTACTACTGGGGACTGCACGACTGGGCACTCGATTACACCTGGACTCAGACTGTTCTTCAGTCTCTCTGCCTGGTACCCTTAGTTTTAAGTGTCTGGACTTTCTGAACCCTCACACAATCTCATGGAATGTTGATGGGGTCTTCCTACTTGTTCGTAAGGAGCTTCTCCTGAGTAAGAGACTCGGGAGGTTCAGTGTCAAGGCACTGAAAGGCGCAGCTAGGCAGACTGTCGGCTCCATGACTTGGAGCAGTTGCTTCCCTTCTCTCAGCATCTTGGCCCATCTAAAAAGTGAAGATGTCATAGTTCTTACTTTCAAGGGACTGTTTGAAGAGTTAATAAAACAAGGCGCTCAGCACAAAAAAGGTCCAGTTCCATGAATGCTAAACACGCAGCAAGCTCTTGATGAATGCAGCCTAGTGTTATTAGAAATGTTTATCAAGACCAACTCTTGTCTGAAGCTTCTGGTGGGGAGGAGGTAGAGGCAGGGAGAGGAGGGGACAGCACCTGCGTGACAGGACTTCGGGGTTTCACTGGGTGCACTTGGAAGTTCTTTTACACTGCAATGATGTAAGTCTGATGCCTTCTGTTGTGCTCTTTAAAATAATTCCTAGTGTGAATACAGTGTTACATGAAGTAAGTCAGACACACAAGCTCACACCTCACATGGTTTCCCTTACATGGGAAACCCAAAGCACACAGATGCCAGTGAGGAAAATGGGAGACAGATGAATAGGAAGGGGAGGGTTCAGACGGTTCCCCAAATGACCTACTCCTTCATCTCAAGAATATTTTAATATACATGCTAATTTGTTTCATTTATACCAGTTTCTTTGTTCATAGAACATTTTGTGCTAATCTGTGTTTCCTCTGTGTAAGAAAGAATCTAGGATTGATGAAATCTAGGAAACTAAATATTGTTATTCTCTTATTAGTTTGTTTTGGAATTTTGTTTTGTTTCATAAAATAAACAAAAGAAAAAAAAAACAACAAAGCAGGCCTAGTGACGAGCATAGGTACTACTTGTCACAAATTCTGTACCAGATACTCTGTCCAGGTGCTGTCACCCGGGCAGCTGAGCTTTCCTCACGTGAGGATCCTTATGCGAGGGGTGCAGGGGCTCAGGAACTTTGTGCCACCTTTTAACTTTTTCTGAAAATATATAACTGCTTCAAATGAAAAGTTCTCAAGATATTATTACTAATCAATTATTCTGTTGAATTAGATATTCTGTACTTTTTCGTTTTTGATTTTGGTACCAGAAATCAAACTCAGGACCTTGCACTTGCCAGGTAGGCACTGTGCCACTGAGCTGTATCTCCAGACTCGACTTTCTATACTTAAAATTAGATTTCTTTCACACAAATTATTTAATTTTTTTTTTTTTGTGTGTGTGGTGCTAGAGATCAGATCCAGAATCAGGGTCAGGTGAAGGCCTTGGGCCTACTAGGCAAGTGCTCTACCACCAAGCTAAACCCTCCAGCCCAGTAACCATATTTAAAAACAAATTCCGATTTTTACTAGTACTACCATTAAAATATAGTTGAAATATGTAAGCATTAACCTTGCCACTCTGCCAGTCAATTCTTTTCCCTGTGCCTGTTTCTTCAACTGTAAAGTAAGGATGAAGTCAATGTTTTTATACATACTGTGGGGCCACACTCCTATGTCTTGCTGCCAGGCGGCTCTACAAGCTGGCAGGAACTTTTAAAAAATCTTCTATGTATGTATGTATGTATGTATGTATGTATGTGTTTGGTTCAAGGTCTTGCTACGCAGCTCGGAGTCATAGTGGTTCTCCTGTCTCTGCCTCCCAGTGCAGGGATTACAGGTATGCACTACCATACCTGTCTCGGTGGCCAGCATGGTGTGCCCAGGGTTCCGAGGCCAGCATGGTACACAGTACCAGGGATCTGAACCCAGGTCCTTGTGCTTGCCAGGCAGGTGCTTAGGCTGCTGCAATTATTGCAGCCAGCAGGAACATTCGAAATAAGCCCCTCTGTGGAAATAATGTAGGTATTAACCAATGCTGACTTTACTGTGTGCTGTGATCTGGACACTGGTACCCTCCCCAAGCGCCTATGTTGAAATTCAGTCCCCAAGTCCCAGGTTTCAAAAGGAGGAGTTTTGGGAAGTGACTAGGTTACAAAGGAATCACTCAGACAGGAGACTAGCACTCTTACAAAGGAGAAACTAAAGCGAGGGGGTCTGGGCCCCCCTCTGTCTCGTGGGGCGTGGTCTTCCTTCCCTCAGCACATGGGGCGCAGCAAGGGGGGCCATTATGAGGCAGACTCGGAGCCTTCGGCAGACACTGGGACTGCTGGTGCCTGGGTCTTCTCCACCTCCAGAACCATGGGAATAAATTTCTATTGTTCAGAAATTATCCACTAAGGTATTCTGTTACCGCGGTCTGCACGGAGCCAGGCATCATTACTAAATCAGCGCTGCCCTCCCGCGCTGCCAGGAGGTCTGGGCCTCCACTGAGAGGCTCTAGACCACTTCTAAGGACACGGGCTGCAGAGCTGCAGGTGTGAAGCGTCCATGTCCAGCTCGGTGCGGGCAGGCTCCCGGAGGCGGCTCTGCACCTGCGCTCACGCTCACTGCTCGCAGGGATGAACAGCTCGCTGCCACAGCCCTGCTACGAGCGGAGCTGGCCTTGAGCGTTCACTCCCGGCATCCTGGCCAGGAGCCCAGGGCCCTCAGAGCAGCTACATCTTCCAGGCTGCTGGGACTCAGAGGAGGCTGCAGGGCCCAGGCCGCACCATGTGACTGTGGCTTTTATTTCAGGAGAAAGTACAGGGCAAGTCCAGCATGCTCTGTGTGTTTCGCTTTATTTAGAAACACAATGAACACCAGCTAGACATTTAAAAACTCTGTGCAGGCATTCTCGCCTTGCTGAAAGCCTTTCCATGTTGCATTTAAGCCCCATAATTAAACGGGTTACCTGTGATGTGTATTCAGTGCCAACAATGGTAGCACTGGAAGCCGAGGAAGGGGTAGGGAAAGGCGGCATAGTATAGCCACCAGGGGTTCCCAGTTGCGCCCCTCCATCGCTTGCCACCTCTGGACACTGTAGGAAACTGACTCCTGAGCAGTGTGCCCCCTACCCCCCTACCCCCCTA